ACACAACATGGTTTAGTTACTATGGGTAACTGGAATGCCAAGACTGAGTCGAGATTATCCCAGAATAACTTTATGTAGCAACTGTAGTGGCATATCATATCATTTGTATTTTAATAAACAAGGCTTGCCTGAAGATCACAATAAAACAGTCGCACTGGCCAGCCTTACAGACCACACAGCAATAACACACACCTTTAATCCCAGTAGCCACATAAACTTGCTATAGAAACCAGGCGGTAGCGGTGCATGCCCTTAATCCCAGAACTAGAGAGGGTTATAAAACGGGAGGAGACAGCTCTCAGGCTCAGTCCCATTCTGCGATTCCTGGAGGTAGCATCACCATTTTGGACAGAGGTTGAGGTAAGAGCCAATGATTGGCTGCTTTGCTTTTCTGACCTTCAGGTTGAACACCAATTTTTGTTTCTGGGTTTTACTATTTGTGCTTCAAGCAACCTCACACCACTTTTCTGTTGTTAAGCAGCAGAAAGGCCTGTGCCTAAACTTCAGTGCATCCACTGAGTGCCTGAAAAATGAAGGGAGTGGGGGGCATCAGAATATTTGCATCGCAAGAAAAAGATTTCTGCCCATGTCCTGTTTCTCATTAAGTAGCCAGTGTTTACAGTTCATGTACTCAGTAATGAGTGAAGCTTGGCTTCTGTATTACAGACAGAACTAAAGGTGGACATGGAGTTGAGCTTCAAAAATAAATGGTGGGAAAAAATAGTGGCACTGTGTGCCCATGGGGAAGGCATCTTCAAGTGTGTAGATACCATAAGGTAGGTGAACTGTCTGGTTGGTTGGTGGCTGCTTGGTTGATCGGTTAGTTGGCTGGCTGACTAGCTGGCTGGTTGGATGATTAGTTGGTTGGTTGATTGGTTGGTTGGTTGGCTGGCTGGCTGGCTGGTTGGTCAACTGGTGGGTGGGTTGGTTGGTTGGTTAGTTGGTCAATTGATGGGTTGGTTGACTGGCTGGTTGGCTGGCTTGTTGATTTGGACATTTGTTCTGATACAATATTGTAGTAAGTAGTTCAAGTTGGCTCTGAATTCACTACACAGCTCAGTCTGGCCTGAAACTCAACAACTGTCCTACCTCGGAATCCTGAGTGTTCCTACACCCAGCAAGAAAATGAGTTTCTTAAATGACCGCTTCTTGGCCAAGTGTAAGCCAACAACAAACTGGGGAGGGAAAAGGTACCAGTACTGGAGGCATAAAAATTGTCCCTGATGTTTGGCCAGCATCTCATTTTCATGTCACAAAAATAAAAAATGATACAGAAAATGTTGAGCCACTCACAAATAAGCCAAAAAATACAACACACTTTTACAGTTATAACTTTTTAGGCATCCTCTCTGAAGAAATACAAAAACCAAACTCTGTATTTTCACATATGAAGCAGGTAAAAAGTCAAGTTTTTAACACTTCTGTCGAATGTGATCTGAAATATGACTAAACCTTTTAGTTAAAAGATATTAAATGTTTTTGGGTAGGATGCAAACCGCTGAGATAGCACACTGTCCTCTAAATCTTTTAATTTAAACAATAGCAAAAGAGTGTACTTTAATTCCAAAATTAAACAAGGCGAGCTAGACAAGAAAACAACTTATAAACCTCTACAGAATGAAATTCTAAATCTGCATTTAAGAATAGCAAAATAAAGTCTTTTACAAAATGACTGCTCTTTAAGTAAATCCTATGCTAAGTTTAAGTTAAAAACAAAAAAAATAATGTGGGAAAGGGTGGGGCTGCAATTGAAAAAAATATCCTCTATATAGTAGCAAAACAAAAATTTTAAGCAAAAGAACATGTTCAGATCTTACTTGTGTCAAGCTGGAATTTTTTAATGAGCCGAGCTCAAGTGAGATAAATAAAAGCAGCACGCTGGACTTGAGCAACTTGAGATAAATAAAAGCAGCATGCTGGACTTGAGTGGCTCGAGAGCTTCCCAGCGCTATTAGAACAAGCTAGAGACTGGATTTCAGCACACTGAGTCAACTAAGTACTTCCTTGGAAAATTCTTCCCGAGAGTTACTTAGGGAAAAAAGAAAAACCGTTTCTGAGGTGCGGTTAGCACTGAAAATTACCTTACCTCCAGTACTGGTGGGCCTGTGCTAGACTAAGGTGTGAGAAACTGGGAAGAGAGCAACAGAAAGCAGGAGCTCTGTGCAGAAGGTGCTCTCTCTACAGACAAGTCAAGACAGACACCACACAGTCCCTCTGTGTCAGTAAATGCCGTCCTTTTTCCATGCATGACTTTCCTTTGTTCTCTCCTGGTACACTGGCCCTCCTCCACAAAGAGCTCTGACTCCAAAAGCACAAGGCTGGAGTTCGTTAGAAACCATCTTTGTGTAAATCAAATCCTGCTCGCTGAACTACAACTAAAACTCAAATGTTTCTTTTCCCCTTAACTCTCAAGAACAAGGATTAGTTCTTCCTATACTCACTTTCTCTGAATTTATCCTGTTGTAAAATCACATATGTATACGCACACATGTGTACATACAAGTGGATGCATACCTTTACGGTTTAGTCAACGGGATAAAAACACAGAAAATAACAACAGAAAGCTGAAGCCAAACCCAGTCACAGACAAGGAAACACCAGTGGAGACAGTCACAGCACACAGGTCCTTCGGGGAAGTAACTTTGAAAGACAGACACAGGCCCTGGCTACACCTTAGTTTCCCAAGAAGATACCCACCCCAGAATATGTGCCTTTGACAAGCAACACAAGGTATTTATCATGCCCTATAAAATCTGAGAACCAGTGTCACAGCGCTCTGATTCATAGACAACTGCTTAGGTCACCTTCAAACAAAAGCACAGGGTGGCATGGCCACTTGAGTTAGGAAAGGCAGACACGGTATCAGTGTCCCTGGCAGAGGTTCTGTGCTTCTCAGAACCGCTGGTCCGGAGGCAGCACTCCATCAAGACAACAGAATTCCATGACTACCGAATGAGCAAATAATTGAGAAGCTTTTCTGCTGCTTGTGCTCAGTTACTAGACTCTAGGGCCTTTCAGGACTTACATTCGCTCCACTGTGCTAGATCCTAAGAGGAAAGATGTTCAAAGTCAGTGCATAATTCATAATAGCCAGGGCCTGGAAACAAAAGATGACCCTCAACAAATAATGGATTTTAGCAATGGAGCATTACCCAACTGTTAAAACTAATGCCATCAGGAACTCTGAAGACAAATGGATGGAACTAGAAAAAACAATCAACCTGAGTGAGATAACCCAGACCTAGAAAGACAAACATGGCACGTACTTACTCATAAGTGAACAGAAGCTGTGAAATAAAGGATAATCATGCTACAATCCATAGACCCAGAGAAGCTAGATAACAAGGATGGCCCAGGGCGGGACATGTGGATCTCCCGGGATGACTGTGGGCAGGCAGGGATGGAAACAAGAGGGATGGGGTAGGGGTGGATGGAGGGAGTAGTACTGAAAGGGGGTGACTGGAAAGAGGGGGCAGTTCGGGGTCAGGGACACTCTGTAGGCCATTTGATTAATTCCCAACTCTTCATTAAATCACGATGGAGCAGGCTGAAACTTTTCAGTCCTACTCGAAGGGCAAGACGTGACTATGGTAGATAAGCAGATACAACGAGCAGGTCTCAGCCACCCTTCTTCAGAAATGGCATTGGCAAAGAGTACTATGAAAAGGTATATGATTTATTATCTCATTAGTTACCAGTGTTGAGAATGATACAAACACGCTTGTTGAAGAAGGAATATTGTGGAGCTGGAGAGGTGGCTCTGCAGTTAGAGGCGGCCCTGGCTGCTCTTGCAGAGGCCCAGGGCTCAGTTCCCAGCTCCCTCATGGCTGCTCACAGCCACCTGCAGCTCCAGTTTTAGGAGATATGTGGCTGTCTTTTGGTAAATTTCATACCAGCTTAACTATCTATCACTGATATGACATACCATAATCTGTTATTACTTAATTATACACAAATCTTTTAGCTAATTTTTAAAAAGCATATGTTTTTCAATTTCATTTAAATATTATAACATTTTTCCTATAACAGGTAAAGCCACATCAGAGGTAGAGACACTAGGCAATTAACTCGTTACATAGTGTTTTGCATTACACTACACCTGCCGATAGTCTCAAATGTTTTGAGGCTCACAAATGTAACTCTGTCATCAGTGAGTACACTTTCAATGGCCAATACACTTAGTGGATTGGTCACCAAATAAGGTGTGGTGGGGTCTGAACTGTTCCGCAAAGGCTCCTATGTGAAACCTTGGTGACAGATGATGAGATTTTCTGGAAATAACTGATCATGGTGGACCTAACCTCAGGGAGGCAGTTGGAGGAAGTAGGTCTCTGGGGACATGTCCTTCTAAGACTCCTCCCTTGCCTCAGCTCCTGGGCTGCCATCAAGTGAACATCTGCCACTCACACTCATTATGACACTCAGCTTTATTATGGACACAAAGCAAGGAGTCAACAGACTGTGAAAGGAAACCTCCAAAACCATGAGCCAAAAATCAACCCTTCCTCCCAGAGGCTGTGTAGAGCCAGCGTACGACGGTGAAGAGGACTGACAAACACGGAAAGCTATATGAGAGGTCTCTGACCTGTGTGTGGTTCCATATGACCTGTGTCTGGTTCTATATGACCTGTGTCTAGTTCTATATGACCTGTGTGTGGCTCTATATGACCTGTGGATGACCTGTGTGTGGTTCTATATGACCTGTGTGTGGTTCTATATGAGCTGTGTGTGGTTCTATATGACCCGTGTGTGGCTCTCTATGACCCGTGTGTGGCTCTCTTGACCTGTGTGTGGCTCTATATGACCTGTGGATGACCTGTGTGTGGTTCCATATGACCTGTGTGTGTGTGGCTCTCTATGACCCATGTGTGGCTCTCTATGACCCGTGTGTAGCTCTCTATGACCCGTGTCTGGCTCTCTATGACCCGTTGTGGCTCTCTATGCACAAGAATAAAGCTTTCCCTGGCTTTGCAGAGGCAGCACAACCTCCTGCACCTACCTTATACTCATCCACAATAATGCTCAGTGCCTCGTGCCCAGCCTTCCTCATGTCTTCCAGTTCTTGCTTATGCTTTTCCTGAAAAGGAAAAAGGAAACTGAATGTATAATTTGTTCTTCAGGTTTGTGCCACAGTAGTAATAAAGTGACCACCTTTCCTTTTATACCTCGTGGCTTGCAGCACAGAGTTTGCAGGTGACATCGAGGAGAATCGGATTAGCTGGCTTGATTTTTTGGATAAAAGTTCATCTAAAGGCAAGCAGAGAGGGAAGGAGGCATTTGTGAGGCAAAGGCAGAGGCTCTCTGTGATTTTGAAGCCAATCAGGACTACATAGTGAAAGACAAGCAACTAAGGGCCAAATAGTGACATTCTGTTTATATATATTATATATATATATATATATATATATATATATGACGTATTTGAGTACTTTCTCCAAAATCAGGTTTGTTTTCTTCATAAAATTCAGTAACATGCAGGCTTTTATGTCTTCCATTATTCCTTCCGACGAAAATAAGACACCTTGATCACACTTAGCAATCCTGCAATACTCATTCTTTAGTTCCTTATGTCCAGAAAGGTCCTCACAGGAGTGCTGCAGTCTGGGCTCCCACTTCCCAGGTCACCTGGCTCCCCTATGCGTCAGAGGCAGATGTACTGGGGGATTCAAAGAATAGCTACTGAATAGATGCATACATAAATGGGGAACTGCACAATCAGCAGCAACATTTGCATAACTACCATAGTGTGATTCACCTAAGGTTCATTCTCTAATATCCAAGCTATAAATTATTTCTCAATCCATATCTCTTTTATGCTTTGACACTGCCAAGCCTACTAAAACTCATATGCATCTCTTCTAACAAATGAATCCAAGCAGAGAAAGACCACCTTTTGTAGTTGGAGGCTGCTCGGTCGTTCCTGGCCCAGACTTCCGAAATAATCACTCAGAAACTATGCCATTTGAATCACTGCTTGACCAATAGCTTAAGCATATTTTTAGCTAGCTCTTATATCTTTGGTTAACCCATTTCTATTAATCTATGTATCACCACATGGTTGTGGCCTATTGGCAAGTTTCTAGCGTGTCTGTCCTCTATGGAGGCTACATGGCTTCTCTTGACTCCACCTTCTTTCTCCCAGCATTCAGTTTATTTCCCCCCACCTAGCTCTGTTCTGCCCTGCGCAGGCCCAAATCAGCTTCTTTATTCATTAACCAATAAAAGCAGCACATATACAGAAGGACCTCCCGCACCAACTTTTTCCCACACAGATGGTGCACAGCCATCCTTTGACTGACAGGCTGGTAAGGAATAGGAAAACAAAGAAACTCTCCACCTAAGCTAGGGTAACTGATCTTGCCTCCCAGATTCTTTAGAGGATTCAGTCTAGAAAGAGCCCACTGGAACTGAAACTGATGATGCCATCTGACTGAGAGACTTTTCCAGTGCAGGCTTGACCAGCACTTTCTCTGAAGCCACGGGTCATAACCAACCAACTCCCCTGGAGAAGGCGGCACATGCAACTTCAGACCACACGGAAGGAGATGGGTGCAGCAGGAGATCCACACATGGGACAGCAGGGGAGAGCCCAGGGCTCGGAGGAGGCTGTCCTGCTGTCCTCGGGGATCACCCAGGTCCTGCTGTGCTCCGGGGATCACCCAGGTCCTGCTGTGCTCCGGGGATCACCCAGGTCCTGCTGTGCTCTGGGGATCACCCAAGTCCTGCTGTGCTCCGGGGATCACCCAGGTCCTGCTGTGCTCCGGGGATCACCCAGGTCCTGCTGTGCTCCGGGGATCACCCAGGTCCTGCTGTGCTCCGGGGATCACCCAGGTCCTGCTGTGCTCCGGGGATCACCCAGGTCCTGCTGTGCTCCGGGGATCACCCAGGTCCTGCTGTGCTCCGGGGATCACCCAGGTCCTGCTGTGCTCCGGGGATCACCCAGGTCCTGCTGTCCTCGGGGATCACCCAGGTCCTGCTGTCCTCGGGGATCACCCAGGTCCTGCTGTCCTCGGGGATCACCCAGGTCCTGCTGTCCTCGGGGATCACCCAGGTCCTGCTGTCCTCGGGGATCACCCAGGTCCTGCTGTCCTCGGGGATCACCCAGGTCCTGCTGTCCTCGGGGATCACCCAGGTCCTGCTGTGCTCCGGGGATCACCCAGGTCCTGCTGTGCTCCGGGGATCACCCAGGTCCTGCTGTGCTCCGGGGATCACCCAGGTCCTGCTGTCCTCGGGGATCACCCAGGTCCTGCTGTCCTCGGGGATCACTCAGGTCCTGCTGTCCTCGGGGATCACCCAGGTCCTGCTGTCCTCGGGGATCACCCAGGTCCTGCTGTGCTCTGGGGATCACCCAGGTCCTGCTGTGCTCCGGGGATCACCCAGGTCCTGCTGTGCTCCGGGGATCCACCCAGGTCCTGCTGTGCTCCGGGGATCACCCAGGTCCTGCTGTGCTCCGGGGATCACCCAGGTCCTGCTGTGCTCCGGGGATCACCCAGGTCCTGCTGTGCTCCGGGGATCACCCAGGTCCTGCTGTGCTCCGGGGATCACCCAGGTCCTGCTGTGCTCCGGGGATCCACCCAGGTCCTGCTGTCCTCGGGGATCACCCAGGTCCTGCTGTCCTCGGGGATCACCCAGGTCCTGCTGTCCTCGGGGATCACCCAGGTCCTGCTGTGCTCCGGGGATCACCCAGGTCCTGCTGTGCTCCGGGGATCACCCAGGTCCTGCTGTCCTCGGGGATCACCCAGGTCCTGCTGTGCTCTGGGGATCACCCAGGTCCTGCTGTCCTCGGGGATCACCCAGGTCCTGCTGTGCTCCGGGGATCACCCAGGTCCTGCTATGCTCCGGGGATCACCCAGGTCCTGCTGTCCTCGGGGATCACCCAGGTCCTGCTATGCTCCGGGGATCACCCAGGTCCTGTTGTGCTCCGGGGATCACCCAGGTCCTGCTGTCCTCAGGGATCACCCAGGTCCTGCTATGCTCCGGGGATCACCCAGGTCCTGCTATGCTCCGGGGATCACCCAGGTCCTGCTGTCCTCGGGGATCACCCAGGTCCTGCTATGCTCCGGGGATCACCCAGGTCCTGCTATGCTCTGGGGATCACCCAGGTCCTGCTATGCTCTGGGGATCACCCAGGCCCTGCTATGCTCTGGGGATCACCCAGGTCCTGCTGTCCTCGGGGATCACCCAGGTCCTGCTGTCCTCGGGGATCACCCAGGTCCTGCTGTGCTCCGGGGATCACCCAGGTCCTGCTGTGCTCCGGGGATCACCCAGGTCCTGCTGTGCTCCGGGGATCACCCAGGTCCTGCTGTGCTCCGAGATCCACCCAGGTCCTGCTGTGCTCCGGGGATCACCCAGGTCCTGCTGTGCTCCGGGGATCCACCCAGGTCCTGCTGTGCTCCGGGGATCCACCCAGGTCCTGCTGTGCTCCGGGGATCCACCCAGGTCCTGCTGTGCTCTGGGGATCCACCCAAGTCCTGCTGTGCTCCGGGGATCCACCCAGGTCCTGCTGTCCTCCGGGGATCCACCCAGGTCCTGCTGTGCTCCGGGGATCACCCTGGTCCTTCTGTGCTCCGGGGATCACCCAGGTCCTGCTGTGGTCTGGGGATCCACCCAGGTCCTGCTGTGCTCCGGGGATCACCCAGGTCCTGCTGTGCTTCGGGGATCACCCAGGTCCTGCTGTGCTCTGGGGATCCACCCAGGTCCTGCTATGCTCTGGGGATCCACTCAGGTCCTGCTGTGGTCTGGGGATCACCCAGGTTGGCCTACTGGAAACCAGAGCAGGGAAAGCTCAGGCCATGTAAATGGAGACTGTACTCTCGTATCCCAGCTGCCAGAACCCAAATAATCACACCGAAGCTACATTAATTATAACACTGTTTGACCTGTTAGCCCAGGCTTCTTATTAACTAACTCTTATATCTTATATTAACCCATTTCTATTATTTTATATTTTACCACGAGATTTGTGGTTTGTTACCTCTTGCTTCTTGGGTGATTACATGGCGTCTCTGACTCGTCTTCTTTCCTTCTCTATCTCTGCTTGGATTTCCCACCCTGCTATATTCTGCCCTGCCAATGGCCAAAGCAGGTTCTTTATTAACCAATGGTGATAAAATATATTCATAGCATATAGAGGGGGCTCTCACATCAAGGCCATCATACACATGTCCAAACAAAGAGATATAATGCAACGCCACCTGCATGCTTCTCAGTGACACAAGACATTCCTTCAGGGTCTCCCTCGATAGCCTAGATAACCTAGGACTCACTACACAGTCTCCCAGGCTGATTTCCAACTGACATCATTCCTCCTTCTGCCTATCCAGTGCTGGATTCAGGATTGAACACCATATTCAGCTTCCTTCTGACAACGGCATCAGGTCTGGCTGAGCCCGAAGGACTCCCTACCCCTTGCAGAGAGTGTAGGCATAGGCTGAGAGTCACCGAAGGACTCCTTACCCCCTGCAGAGAGTGTAGGCATAGGCTGAGAGTCACCGAAGGACTCCCTACCCCCTGCACAGAGTGTAGGCATAGGCTGAGAGACATCTGGCACTTGGGTTTCTTTATACACCTGGTAACAAGTTATAGCGCAGAAACCTTCCCATGGGTCGCAAAATCTCATTTTCAGACAAATATTAAGTGGACAGAAATAACAGATCTAAGGACCAGTCTGAAAGTATCAGGCAGAAACACAAACAGAAGCAAACTTCCTTGGCAAAGCTGTGACAGCATCTATGTTGTGACCTCAGTAAGCCTGTCCCCTCAGCTTATGGTAACACAAATCCCCAGGATTCCTTTGACCGAACAGCCTTGACCACTAAGGGCTGCCTCCACACACTGCAGACATTCCATCTGCAAGCTTAGAAGGGCCTTGCTGAGTCCTGCTCACCAAAAAGAAGAGACTAGAACAAATTCCTCCAAAACTAACTGACAAATAGAAGACACGGTTGTATAGAGAACTCCAAATCTCCTTGCAGAGGCACAGAGAAAAGTAGCTCATTTTCCTACATGCTAATTTACAAAGGTTGACAACCTCATATCCATATCTAAACCAAAACTAAGCAATTCATAAGTTAGCAA